CTATACTCTGTTCCAGAAGTTCCGTGCAGCACTGTGGAAGCTACAAACATTCTTTACCAATCAGGAGGGCGAGCACATCTAAGTGTATCCTTCCGCGCCCTGTCGTCTGCTCGCTCATTTTTTAGAGTGTACAAGCGAGAATCTTTTTTCAGTACCTTGGAGCCACAAAAATGTTTTCAACAGAAAGTGTGACAAAATCGTCATACAAATCACAGCTACAACTCGAAAAGAAGTAAAAATCATCCGACGACACCACTTGCAAAAGTCACGAGGACAAACAACGGGCTAAGTATACGGGGCACTACATCTCGCGTTCGCAACAACCTGCGTTCGAGGGTCGTGTAGCCTTGGCTCTGCTGTACGAAACTTCTGGAACAGGAGTATAGGCGAAGACTTTCGGCGTCAGAATTTCCTTCAAATTCGCTTATTCACGACTCATGTCGCGCTGAATCTAGATTTCCGTGTGCACTTTTCTGAATATTAGGCCTAGGCTTTCAATTGGCGCCTTGAGAGATGGTGTCATTCCGTTAAGCTACTATAGCGCACTTGGCGCTACTCATCACTTTTGAGTACCTTTTTCGCGTCCTCCGACGTTTTTTCGGAACGCTAAGAGCACTGGCATTCGTACTCGTAAGTACACTGCTTTCATTCCACTGATCTGAGACCTATTGTCGTGGTCCTCGTCAGTGCGTGCCTGGTACTGAACGACATCCGCGACGCTTCCTAAGCTAGTCAGCTTGACCTTACAAGTCTGTTCCCTTATTTGGGCTTTAACGCGGTCGCGTAGTGACCTGTCTTTGGGCCTTCGACAGTGGCCTCTATTTCAAATGCTGGAAAAGTAGTGCTTCGCTTTCCCTGTGCGTACCCTACAGGTACCACTGCCTCGCTGATACACAGCCAATTAGCTGGGGGGCTTTATCAAACTCGAATTCACCGTCGTCGTTTCGGCTTCCAAAGTCGACTGAATCTACAGAACCAAAGTGGCTGAACAACCGACCCCTATACTTACCATCTGGCCCTTCCTTACCATCCAAGCCCTTCCTTCTGCTTGGTCTCGGAAGTCGGCCTCTCTCCCCAGTGCAGTTCTCTCTACAAGCGTCACTGTCTCTGCGAGGTGCACTCTTATCGCCGTCACTGCTCGTAGAAGGATCTGCCTCCACGTCGCTATCCCTAGAAGCATCAGTGAGTGCGTAACTCTCGCGTTGGCCGGTTAACGAGGGGGCTTGCATTTTCCCGATAACTGCCTTTTTTTTTGCACGCCTGAGTCACGCTCCGTTGCAGCTGCCTCGGGTTCTCGTACTTTAGCTCTCGGTCGTCCGCCTGTCACATGGTACGCTGCTCAGATTTCGTGTCCGCTCGCATGCCTTCGAGTTTGCAAGTGACCTGCAACCTACGTCGGTGTTAAGTGATTCCCCACGGTACTTTAGCATTTCCTCAGACTTACTTGAAAATAGGTAAGGGAAGTGCTCCGGAAGGTTGGCTGAAATTGCCGCCTCTGTGCATAATTTGCCGAAACGGCCCTCGATTACATTTTCGCCAGGGGTAGGCAGACACTTTGCTTTTCAGCCACTTGCCGAATCCGGCCACACTTCCTTTCATATTCTTTGGAATATGCGCAACTTGGATGCGCTATATATCTTGACGCCGCCGACGTCTATCAATGCTGTGCTAATTCGAACGTTCACTGAGAGGGTCCTCATGTCAGGCCTCAACAGTTGCAAGCTTCCCTTCATCCCCGGAATTGCGGCCTACGGGTCAGCAGCCGAGTACCTTAGCCGCTAGGCCACCGCAGCGGTGTAGTCTAATAACTTGGAATTCTTGGGTTTCCAGTCATTTCGTGAGAAGCTCTTGCCTTCCTGTTTTCTGACGAGCTCCCTGTCTTTTCGCTTTTATCAGAAGTTCGCTGTGTACTGTGGAGACTACGGGGTGAGCAGTTATCTTCATCGAGTTGTGCTGCCCTGTTCATGTCTACATCTGCTACCCTATAATGTAGATGGAGGACAAATTGTGTTAGAAAAACTAGCCACCCTGTTTACGAGGTGTCTCCTGACGGGAAGGGTACCAGAGTCTTGGAAGAACGCTAACATCATCTAATACATAAGAAAGGAGATGACAAGGACTTCGAAGAATTACAGGCCGATTAGCTTGCTCTCTGTAGTATACAAGCTATTTACAAAGGTAATCGCTAACAGAGTAAAGAAAACATTAGGAATTCACTCAACCAAAGGAACAAGCAGGATTTTGAACAGGCTACTCAACAATTCGACCACATTCATACTATCAATCAGGTAATAGAGAGATGCTCAGAATATAACCAACCACTATACATAATAAAGTATAAAGCGTCGATAAAGTATATATAAACACCCTGGAAGAAATCTACAGGGGATCAACTGCTACCATAGTGCTTCATAAAGAAAGCAACAGAATACCAATCAAGAAGGGTGTAAGGCAGGGGGACACAATCACCCCAATGCTATTTACCCGCGTGTTACAGGAGGTTTTCAGAAGCCTAGAATGGGAACAGTTAGGGATAAGAGCTAATGGAGAGTACCTTAGTAACCTGCGCTTCGCCGATGACATTGCATTGCTGAGTAACTCAGGGGACGAATTGCAACTCATGATTACGAAGTTAGACAAGGAGAGCAGAAAGGTGGGTCTTAAAATGAATCTACAGAAAACGAAAGTAATGTACAACAACCTCAGAAAAGAGCAGCGCTTCGAGATAGGTAATAGTGCACTTCAAGTTGTAAAAGACTATGTCTACTTAGGGCAGGTAATAACCGCGGAGCCGAACCACGAGATTGAAGGAACTAGAAGAATAAGAATGGGGTGGAGCACATTTGGCAAGCACTCTCAAATTATGACAGGTATATTGCCACTATCCCTCAAGAGGAAGGTATATAACAGCTGTATCTTGCCGGTACTTAGCTACGGAGCAGAAACCTGGAGACTTACAAAGAGGGTTGAGCTTAAATTGAGGACGATGCAGAGAGCAATGGAAAGAAAAATGGTAGGTGTAACCTTAAGAGACAAGAAGAGAGCAGAGTGGATCAGGGAACAAACGGGGGTTAAGGATATCATAGCTGAAATCAAGAAGAAGAAATGGACATGGGCCGGGCATGTAGCGCGTAGACAGGATAACCGCTGGTCGTTAAGGGTAACTACTGGATTCCAAGAGAAGGCAAGCGGGTTAGGGGGAGACAGAAGGTTAGGTGGGCAGATGAGATTAAGAAGTTTGAGGGTATAAATTGGCAGCAGCAAGCACAGGACCAGGTTAACTGGCGGAACATGGGAGAGGCCTTTGTCCTGCAGTGGACGTAGTCAGGCTGATGATGATGATGACTGTACCCAAAGCCTTAGCTCCTCGGGAATCGCCTGGTATAACTGCTCAAATGCCACCAGTTTAATGACTTTGTCATGGTTGCCATAGACTTGCGTGCTTTTGAGTAACTCCTCAAAGTTGGCTCTATTGTTGGATAGCCTTAGTCTTAATGAGATTCGTTGACCTCAGAATGCCTGAAGCGCTGGCGAAAAACGTCTATCTATAGGCGATATTTTCGTAGCAAAGCAGCCCTTGGAGTCCTCCTTATTCATTCTTGCGATAACATCGGATACTTCGCTTGGTAGTAGGCATATCAGTTTTTGTGGCCAAGTCTCCCTACGGAAATCTGCATATTCATATGCCCGCTTTAAGCGAACGAAGTACAATGCAATGTTGTCACCCGCCTTTTAGGTGTGGATTAGATCACTCATCTTTCATTACCGCTACCCACCGATTTTTTACTTCCCGCCGATACACGACACTCCAGTTTTTTCAGTCGGATTTCCTATTTTTCGCGAGCTAAGTATTCCTTTTTCTTTTCAAAATTGCTTCTCTGGCCTCGATGGTCTCCTCTGAATTCAATTCTTACTTCTCCAAGTGCTCCGAAGTTCACTGTTGTCTTCTTATCGGGGTGATCTAAATGTTCAGCTCCTGACAAATCTGGACGAGTTCCTAAACCTTAAACTTGTCCATCTTAGATATGCACAGTGCTTCTCTTCTAAGACAATTTCGCCCACAAAAATATCGACGCATATTGTTTACACAAAGCTCCGCGACAAAGCGAGTTTACCGGTTGCCTTTGTTTTAGGTACGAGGCCGGCATTACTGCTACCAACGGCTGTGAGTGGCAGGCTGCACAAGTGTCTGGTAGAAATGGCAGGCTAACTCCACATGCTGCAGTGCTATACCGCTAACACCAACACTACATCCTGAGAATTTACGTGTACTGCAATATTAAGAGTCTGTTCGTGATAAACCTTGCAAGAAGGGCACAGACATAGGTATCATCACAAAATTCATTTTATTAAAAAATGAAAACTCGATGCATTTAGGACGTTCCTACAGCCTGTGCTTAAATCTAAACTTCCAATAGCGCCAATAGGTGCCCAAATACATACATGTATACTTTTTATGAACAGTAAAGACGAGCTTCTATCAATTTACTTTTCAAAACATCGCATCCAGGCATGGCTATTCTTGTGTTCCACACAATGATGAGCTTACTGCAAGCACACTCATGCACACACAAAGAAGTAAACGTCAGGAACATACGCTGTTGAAGTTCTCTCATAGCATGCAGACAATCTGATCTAGAGCTCCTACATCCACAATAAAAGTGTTGAACTCAGCGCCTTGTCTTACTCATTTTTGACAGTTCACATTGGAGAATGCCATCGTTGATCCTTCATGGTGAAATCTGTCTAGAACTCTTCAAAGAACTAGCCACGCATTCATACCGCATCCCTCTGAGTAATAAAAGAAAATTGTCTCACACGGGACCGGAGTTACCGGCACAACACGCTAGCGGTTCAAAGATCTACAAGACCGCTTTTGCAGACTGCTCCCGCACAAAAGTCTCCTAGTACTCGACGCCGCCTTTCATGACACCGCACGTGTGAAGTCCAGCTTCCATGGTCATGGCATGAGCAGTGCCTCCTGTCGAGATAGGAACTTCTCACCAGCTTCCATCTTGGGTCAAGTGAGTCGCGTGTCCGGTCGAGTGAGTCACAATGTGATGGTGGTGGTGCACGGGCACAGGCACGGGAACAGGAATGGGCACTGGATGTGGATGCACTTGTGGTGGTGCGTAGTGCTGCTGGTAGTGCTGTTGTGGGGGTGGCGGCGGCGGCGGTGGTGGTGGAGGATAGTAGACAGGAGCGTGTCCTCCATAAGGCACGGGGATTGGAACAATCTGAGGCGCTAGAGCCCTGCTGATGATGGCGAGCTTGGCGAGCTTCTTGAGACGGAGCATCTGGAAAGCCGAAGTAGACGCATCGCGCCTTCTTAGTGCCAGTAGGAGCGCCAGCGTCACGACGATGGTCCACACTCGTCGTCTACCCATGGTGCAGTCCTGGGGGCGAGCAGCCTTGCAAGGCCTGCCTCATACGAGTGCTGCCTCGTGCAGCGCGCTTGTGGTTTCACGATGACTCTTTTCCCCTCGATGCTAGTGCGAGACATCTTTTTATATGATCTCTGATCGCGAGGCTAGTGTCTCCACCCCTCTCTCAACTCTTTCCCATAACTGCTGTGCCGCCATTTGATGTGTAGTGTGTGTGGGCCCTCCTGTGCCACACTTCATTGTTCCAGAATTGTTATTGTGCGCCCTTTCTATTTTTCTTTAACTCTAAGAGGAATAACTACGGACCAGTAAATATGAAGAGGAAATGACAGTTGGCCAAGTTCCTTGTGTTTCTTTTTGAATCCTGCCCAGAAGGAAGAATGCGATTCATCGAGGCTCAATGCACCCACAGCTTGTTCGAGGGTCTCTCGCTCTTAGCACTCTGGTCATGGGGTAGTAAAGCACACAAACATGACAAAACAAAACACGCGGGCTTGGGCCAGAAACCAGAGTTCAATGGCTCCTTACTCAGGACAACTGCGGTAGTCTTCAACCAACCGCGAAAATGGTAACGACCTGCATTCGGATTAGCATCAGCCGCGCTGCCGTATTTGCCCCTGCTTTACGATGCATCAACAGCGAAGGCGCCGCGCGGTGGGGAAAGTTGTGGTCGACGCCATGCGCGGTGGGCTTTCGGCACGTTGTCCGCCTCGCTGAATTCGAAATCGGGCAGCATCGACGCAGAAAGGAAGAGAACGAGACGCACGGGAGCGCTCGGTTGTTTGGTCGACGTGCGCCTCCGCTCGATTGATGGAGCGTGGGTGACAAAGGGTTCGCCTGGTGACGAGAGCGAGTGAGGAAGCGACCACCCGGTCGAAGCATTCGTTGCTCCCGCGGCTGTCATTTCACCCCCTCCCCCTTAATTCACTCCCACTTTCTCTACAGACCACTTTCTCCAGCCCCTTGACACCAGCCTTCTCCGCCTAGACTCGCATGGCTGCCGTCAGAACATTCTCGCCCGTTCATGTCGAAATACGCGTGTGGCGGGCTCTTTCCTTGGCAGCCATATAATTAGACAGGCCTTGGACACGCCTTCTGGAGCAGGTCCTTCTAAACAAGCGAGCGAGCGAGCAAGAATGGCATAGCGTTCCCGGAGTTAGGGCTGCGAGACGTGGCTGCCTTTGATGTGTGCGGTGCCGTGTTCTCGTAGTGGCGTGATTTATGCAATGCAAATGAGCTGGCAGCAAGTGAGTGCTGGAACGAAGAAGCCGCATCGCGGGCTCCTCTTTCCCCCCACCGCTAGTTTCCTTAATTTCTCCGACCTTTCTCGTTCGGCCTAGGCCGTGGCCGCTTTCGGAAAGTTGGGCAGTCCCATGAGCCTAAAGAGGAAGCGAACGGGTTTTATTTTTTGGCAATCTTAGTGATCCTAGCGGACCGGGCGTCATGATCATTTGTAGTTACATTTGTTCCGGCACGAATATTATGATATCTGAAGAAAGTATCAGCGATAGTTTTCCGGATACTGAGCAAAAATGTACACGTCGAATCGACTCATAGCACCCTGACCAACGTTTTTTTCCACACAGAAAGAAGTGCATAATCATATGAGGTGCCATGTGGCAACTTCAGTCTACGTGAAGCTGCTTCTCGATGGTTGTTTGGTGCGGATGTTGGCAATCACGCAATTGCATATTGTAAGGCATTTTGCGTTAGTACACTAAAAATAGAACAAGAAAGAAACGTTTGTGCAAAATAAAAACAATATCTGGGATTTTACCTCCGAAAACCACCATGTTATTATAAGAGACGTTGTAGTGAAGGGCTCCAGAAATCTTTACAAACTGGTGTTCTTAAACGTGCACTGACATCGGAAAGTTCACGTGCCTCTGCCATTCCGCCTCCATCGAAATACGACCGCCACGGCTGGGGCTGAAACCGCCACGTTCGGGTCAGCAGCTGTGTACCTTAACCGCTACACGACCGCGATGAACTACCATGTAAACGCACGCGACAAGTGTATAGAGGTAGTACTATACTGACTTGAACTTACTAGAAATTCTTTCTTAAAACGCGTATTGTTCGTGAGCGCAACACCTCGAGCGACATGTACATGTTCATGCCCATTCCTCTCTAAAGGCCTACAATGTGGCCCTCTTTAGCAAACGGGAGCGAAAACGGTTGAAAGAGTGTTGATTTGTAATGGCACCACTGGTAACAAATACTCACCCTATCGGGATGAGCCAGATTTGCATTCTGTATTTTTTCAGTTTGCTTTAATTGCGCACAATCACTAGTCTGCTGCGAAGCTCTGTTTGTATATATGTAAGCATCGGCGCCAGCTTTCTCCAGTACAGTTTTGTGTTGCCGAAAGTACGGCGGACGGCTAGACTAGAATTCATCATTGCTAAAGTAGTGGACAATGTCAGCGGTTTGCCGCAAGCAAATCACTATTCCTAGAGAAAAAAGATGCAGTGGTTGAGTGCACAGCTGGCCTCTAGGCTGCGAACAAGGAGATGGATATAAGTGTCGTAGTACTCCTCCGTTGCATGCATATGTGGGTATCATTGCTCGCTGGTTTGTTAGGGTCATCGTCATAATGGCGATGTGCAATACTCGGTTTGAAAAGAACAGGCTTCAGGGCCCTTAATAATGTTTTGTTTTTGAACGGATGCTGCGTGATTGCATTTGGTCCAACTAGTTAGTTGGCCTAGGAAGAATCTTGTGCCTGATCTTTCAGGGAATCACTTTGCACGTTAGTATATCCTTGTGAGACGGTTTAGGGTAAGAATACAGGGTGCCCGAGCTTAATGTCGCCAGAGTTTTAAAATCCACTGCCGCATACTATGACGACGCTGACCAAATGCATGTTGCTGACTACTGCATGAAGTAACCACAGATTTTTTATTGTTCTGCTTAGTTCCTTGATTAGGCGAGATGAATTATTCTACTTCTACGTTAAAGAGTCTGGGCAAGCAATTTCAATGGCAACACTGCAAATCGTTCAGTAAAATATCCGCATATCACAGTTCATAACCAGGGGGCGGAAACTTCTATACTTCCCATGTACTCGCTCTCACATGCCGATGCGCAGGGGCAGCGTCACTTTTACCACTGGCGGTTGCCGGGCATTCAACTATAAATAAATAACAAACAGAACGATTCTTGCATGACGTCACTGGTGAAGTCACCAAATAAAGGTAAATGATGAATAGAGGTAAAGGAGGGTTGCCACGGACGTTCTCCTTTTTCTCTTCACATGCAAGCGGAATGATGATGATGATGAAAAACATTTATTATAAAAGAGAGAAGAGAGAGGTACGGGGCCAAAGCATGACCCTGCTACATGGTCGGCGTCCTTAGTCCGGGACACCGCATGACGAGGCCCCTACTCGCGCCCGTCTCACTAGAGCCCGTTGAGACTCTAGTGATGAGCAGTTGAGGAGGGCAGTCTCCCATGCCTCTCGGGAAGGGGTAGGGGAAGGGGGTAGGTGGGGATTTTTCGGACATGCCCATACCATGTGGAAGATATCACACGTCTCCCCACAGTATGGGCACCGCCCATCTGTGTTCGCATCGAAATGCTTTAGGATTGCAGAGCAAAGTAGAGTACCTGTCTGCAGGCGCCTTAGAGTTCGCTCTTCCGCCTTGCTCAACCCCTTTGCAGGAGCCGGGTAAAGGCGGTGAGTGTCACGATAATAGCTCAGAATTTCTTTGAACCGCAGCAGCGGTGTATTGGCCTCCGAGTCATAAGAGCCAAGGTGAGGAGCCCGGTGGGTAAGCGCTCGGGCGGCCGCGTCAGCGGTCTCATTACCTCGTAAGCCCTGATGGCCAGGAGCCCATACGATGCGTTTCGGGGCTGGATCAGCGAGAGCCCATTTTAGAAAAGCGGAATGCTCTCATGCCTTCTTTCAGGTACGCTGGCCGCTTGGATTACGGAGCCATTCATGAAATTTAGTTAACCTTACTTTAGTTTCTTGAAAAACTTTGTTCGTGTGTTTTCACGTGGCTATAAAAATTAGTTGACTGATTTCTCGGTGAAACAAAACTCGATTTACAGAAATAAGACGAGTTTTTTTGTTGCACGTTCTTTATTGATCAAGATTCATACACGTATTGTGAAAGTGTCAATCGATAAAAGCAGCCTTAATTTTGCAACTGATAAAGATACATACATAGCGAACATTGAATACAGAATATCGGAATCAATATGCAAAAATTATCACCAATCACGAGTAGGAGACGTCTTCTTCGACTCAACAACGTTTGTTACGACGATGCACATAGTTTTCTTAGAGAAATTGAGTACCGAATGATGCTGAAGTTGAGGCATGGAGAGGCTTGAAGCCATTAGAAATTTTTCAAAAGAGAACGTCACTGGAAACAGTGTTTCGGCAAGTGGACTTGTCCTCGTCAGGGCAACAGCATTGCTTAGACAAAAAAAAAGTTCACTTGTCAAAACATTGGCTGCAGTGTCATTCCCTGTAATGAAATCTAGACGAATTTAGGCCATTACATGCATTTCAATGACAGTATTAACGACACAAATTTTCTAACCGAATCTACACGATTTTCATAAAGCGGAAAGATCCTGTAACAGCTTCACATTATTTGAACTACATGCCAAAATTAAAAAAAGTAAAAACTATGTAGCCAAGCCAACAACAATTTAAGCCTTTCATTGAACGCATTTTGCCGAGTTTAACTTGATTACTGTCTTGACCAATTAGTCCAGCGACACTGCAATTCTATCAGTGCAGTTACGCTTGCAGAGAAAAAGTTCGTGAAACGTGGAGTTTCCAGAGGTGTCCCCAGGCGGGATCTCAAAAGTCCGCTTGCACAGAGTGCAAGAAAGCTTTGGTGCTCAGATCCAGTAGTTTAATAGGGCCGCGTGTACAATGAACTACTGAGTGACTTGGCATTTACTTAGTGAGCTTTACAGGGAAGCCTCCAAGAAATGTACTCCACATGAACGACAGAAAACTTTTGTGATACCCTATGTCCAC